CAAGCATCGAGCCATCGTGGAGAGACTAGTGAGAGAGTGAACCGCCAAAAAGAGAGTGAGTGCCACAATCCAAAATTGAGTGACTCCATGAAGAGTGACAAGAAAAACTTAGTTCTACTAGCCACTAAAAGAGATTTGAGGGATGTGAGTGAGAGCCACTGGAGAGGAGGTGCATGTGGATTGGGGGTTGTTTCTCTCTCTATCTCCCCTCTCTTACCTGTTGGCGCCAACAACATCTCTGTTTCCTGCCAAGACTCTGTTTCCCGCCTAAAACTGCTCCCATGCCTGCCTGGCAAGCTCAAGGCGTCCAATATAGACTAGGGGGCCAACCTGGACGTCTATGCAGACGCTTCAGACGCCTTAAAGCTTAAGGCGGACACCTTACGTAGGTACCTAAGGAAAAGTGGACGCCTTGGGCTTGCAGGGCGCCCTGACGCCTAAGCGTCGCCTAGGCAACGCCTTACGAACGCCTTAAAAACAATGCACGTTGTTGTGGTAGTCTTGCTTAAAGACTACCTCCCTTTATTTCCTGTTGAACATCTTCGTCCACCATCTATGAATTTTCATCATTGGCAACAGAGGGGCACCCTTTCTTATCATCTGAACTAGTTGATCGAATCTTGAATTACGATCTTTACGCAGCGTTTCAATTTTTTGTTCTGCAGCATCCATACTCTCCTCCAATTGCTCTATCGCTTGCTACAGCTCTCTCAAAGAGGACATCAAGAACTACTACGGATCAACAGGGGTCTGGTACCACCTGAAACAAAACAAGGTTGTGGAGGAGAAACTCCACCTTGCTGCTACAAAGTGTACATCACATGTGTTGAAGGAAAACATGATGTGCTAGATATAGCTAGGCGGAAACAGGCCAATGTGGCAGCAGCAGTTCAATCAAAACTCCTAGAGCACAAGATCTAATCCAAGATCTTAGATAAGAACACCAGGTTCTATTATAGATAGTGGGGTACACAGTCTGGTTACAAACTAGAGGTGAGGACCTTTATTTATAGGGCTTTGGGAAGCCTTCAGATATCAACTTCTACTGATAGCTAAAACACTCTAAAAACATTAGTTAAGATTCAACATTCTAGATATTATCTAGAAATGGGAGGGGGAGTGAGGATAGTGGAATTAGGTCACGGGAGTATATAGCTACTAGATGGGCTTTTGGGCCGCTGGGAAGTGCATAGGTCGTGGCCTTCCTTGCAATACAAGGAAGTGCATAGTACGTGCTAAACTGCTGCTAAACTACTTGATTGCCCTGTTCCTTCTATGTCTAAGGAGTAACCTTGCCTCGCCTTACAGCCTCGACTTACACACTTCAAAGGTAATGTGGGGCTTAGGCTCCTTGCCTTGGCTTACGGTCTTAAGAACAATGGAAGAAACATAGGAAGTTCGTCATTTCAAAGGTGGAGTGTTTTAACTACGATGAGCATGGACATTTCACCTCTAACTATCCAAGCAGAAACGGTAGTGAGCGACCTGACACAGAAGCAAACCGATTAAGATGCAGATGCAGCACCGCTCATGACCAAGGTATGTGAGGTAGCTGAGAATACTTAATTCACGGGTGACAAGGTGATGCAGCACGAAGAAAAAGTCACATCCAAACTAACAGGGTCACCAAACAAGTCCTTGTATCTTTATACTGGAACAAGCAACCACATGAGAACAGCGGAAAAGGGAAGCAAAAGAAACATAGGAAGTTCGATATTTCGAAGGTAAAGTGTTTAACTAAGATGAGCATGGACATTTTGCCTCCGACTGTGCAGAGCCAAAGCAGGAGCGTGCAAACCTGACACAGAAGCAAACCGATGAAGATGTTGCACTGCTCATGACCGAGGTGTGTGAGCTGGTTAAGAACACTGAAGCCACATGTGACAAGGTGATGCTGCACAAAGAAAAAGTCAACACCCAAACTGATGAAGATGTTGCGCTGCTCATAACCGAGGTGTGTGAACTGGTTGAGAACACTGAAGTCACAGGTGACCAGGTGATACTGCACAAAGAAAAGGTCACACCCAAAATGACAGGGTCACGAAACAAGTCTTGGTATCTTGATACTGGAGCAAGCAACCACATAACAAGCTGTGTGGAGAAGTACGTCAAGCTGGACCAAAAGATTAAAAGTTCAGTTTGATTCGAGATGGATTAGTTGTGGGCGTCGAGGGATGTGGTCCAGCTCTCTTTCTTGCACACAATGGTGAATACCAACTGTTAACTGAACTTTAGCTGAAGAGCAATATAAACAGTCTTGGGCAGTTGGATGAGTTTGGTTGCAAGTACGCTGTTTGATCAAGGACTGATGATTATGTTGGGTAAGGAGTGCAAGGTCCTTGCAGAAGTCAGGAGATCACCCAAGAAGCTCTATATTCTGAATATTGAGAAATCTGACCCAGTATGTTTGCTGTCGGAAACTTCAGAGGTTAGCCGATACATGGACAAACCTGCAACAGATCACTCGGCGGCCGTGAAGCATATCCTGCATTGATGCGGCATACCCTAGCGCAAACATGCATAGTACACAGGTCATGATGAATACACCGATCATTGACAAGGGGTTGCAGGCATCTGCGGCAGTCGTTGACAAAGGGGTGTAAACGGAGGATATATTTTATGAATAAAGACAATGTGTTTTTAGGGTAAAATACCCGTATCGAGTTTTGAGAGGAAGCTGTCTAAAAATCTCATCAACTGGTAGCAGAATACTAGGTTTATTACGGTGCACATTTCCCCAATAATTTGTTGGTACAGATTCTAAAATTGCAATGAGGACGGAGTATTACTTTGAAGGTGAGATGTCATGAAGTGAGAAGGATCCGGCAACTGCACTTTCTTGGTTTCAGATCTACACAAGGGTGCAAGTGGGAAGAATTACTTGTACTACAATGATGGATCGTTCTTCAAAAATAAATTTGGCGAGTCAAACCATGGTGGATGTGTTGAAGTTATCAGTGATAGAACATCCTGACCCATATAAGCTCTCTTTTTGTTTTTGAGGGGTCCATATAAGCTCCCGTGGCAGGGCCAATTCCTAACTATCAAATATCAAGAGGAGGTGCGCTTCAAATTATGTGGATTTACCGACTTGGTTGTTTGTGATGTGTTTCCTCACCATATGTACGTATGTTCTATGATTTTGGGTCAACCATGGACAAAAAAGAGGGAGCTACGGAGCGACAAATCTTGCAGTTTTTCTTGGAGGAAAATTCAGTTTCTTCATAAGGGGCAGTGGGTTTCTTTTGAATCCTACACTTCCGAAAAATATTTGGTAGACCGCAAGAGGCGAGACCATGCACACGCTACAATTGATGCAAAGAAAAACAAAGCTGAAATATTACCAGAAAAGAAAGGGGCTGAGAGTGATCTTGTTGTAGTTAAAAATATTTCTTCACATGAGGAGCTCAACAAGTCAGGGGCAATGGTGATTAATAGAGATGAGAATAAAAAAAATAGTACCTGCTACGGGCAAGGTTCAGGAAGCACATGCGGCCATTAAAATAAAGGAGGGAGAGGCAATACGACTCACTGAGCTGAACATACAAATCAAGAGGGTACAGTATAGTAATAATAAGGTGGACAAAGGACAGCGAGTTTGTTTCAAACTCAGTGCGATATCAAGGGAATTTCCTGCAAATTGATTATCGATGGAGGTAGCTGCACAAATGGCATTAGCAGGGCATTGGTTGCAAAGCTTGGTTTATCCACGTGGCGATGCGACGAACCACGTCATTTGGAGCGGTTGAACAGTTGTGGACAGCTCAAAATTACACATAAGGTGCGTGTGTCATTTTCAGTTGGACAATATATTGATGAGGTGGAGTGCAACGTTTTGCCACTGGAAGTTTGCGATTTATTGCTTGGACGACCATGGCAGTACGACCGCAATGCAACACATGCCAGAAGGATGAATACATATACTTGTGTTCACGACGGGAAGCAAAGGACACAAAGCCAATGGAAGAGAAATTGATTTGCTCAAATATGGTGCCGACAGTATGCAAGGAAAAAGCTTTGAAAGACAACTTGAAAACGCGGACGTTTTCTTTTCAAGAAAGGGAGGATGATGCGGCAATACCCTAGCGCAAACATTCATAGTACACAGGTCATGATGAATACACCGATCATTGACAAGGGGTTGCAGGCATCTGCGGCAGTCGTTGACAAAGGGGTGCAAACGGAGGATATATTTTATGAATAAACACGATGTGTTTTTCGGGTAAATACCCGTATCGAGTTTTGGGGGAAGCTGTCTAAAATCCCTAAGTTTTGGAGGAAGCTTTAGAAAACCTTTGTGTTGCGATTTCTCTGCGAGGAAATTGTTTTGCGTGTGAGTTCCTTCGTCGAGATTGGTTCTCTCGTGATGGAGCGCAAGGTTCAAACCCTCTACTCGTGTACATCGCATGCGCAGGCGAGAGGTTGCTGCTACTGAAGGTGGTGTGTCGTTAAAGGTCGGGCCGCAACAGATCAGATCTTGCCACAAGGTTCGGTCCTCATCATGCGTGAAGGGAACACTAAAGCTGGGCTGTTTCTGTGGGAGAAGTGAAGAAACTGCTCGATTGTAGTGACAGCAGCTTGGGGTGACGTAGATGACAGGAAGAGTAGAAATGGAGTCATCCTCTACCTTGGTACAAGTCCGGTAAGCTGGTTATCTCCGAACAAAGGGAAAACAGAAAAGACGCAGAGATTACGCGTTGCAAAACTCTCCTCTCTGTGAATGTGTTTGTCCTATCTGTCTTCGTCATGCCATACAAAGTAAGATTCGATAAGTAATTCATCTCAATTCAAAATTCACACTGACAGCATCACAACTGCTATATTCGGTATCCAGTATTATTATCACTTGCATTGCAACTAATACCATCATACCAAATTTGCAGAAGCTGGTCACTAGATAGTCTTCTAAGCATAACAGAGCATATCTAGCATTTGCTTATAAGCTATAATATTTAATAATATAAGTATATGTCTAGCAAAGTACTGAGAGAAAAGTGTACCTTTGCCATCACGATTACGATGACAGCTACCATAGGAATCAATTTTTACATCTAAGCTTTCAAGCATCTCAAGGGCTTGCAAACGAAAGTTGCGTGCACCGCAGTTGGAAATAAAGGCTGCAGCTAGGGCTTCTTCAGTCTTTGGAGGCACAGGTGCCATGATATCATATTCAGCCCATGAAAAGTAGCCAACCGGCACATCTGAGGAAAGGCTGGTTGTCATCACAATTTGGTACCCTCTTCTGTGATAGAAAGGATTAGAATCACCCAATATATTAGAATTATAATTATCAGAACGAACAAAGCCTACAAGGACCACAGACAATGGATGGTTCAACAGCTGGACATACATGAAAATAATATGGTAATGAGTGAGTATAATATAAGACAAAAGCAGTGTTCATTTTTAGATTTCCTTTGAAGTGATAACTGATCCAATAGCCAAATAGTTACCACCATACTTTCTTATGCTATTTTGAAAGTTTAAACAACAATGGAACCTACAAACAAATTAGCGCAGTAAATAATGCACTTAATATGGATATCATAAGGAGCTAGGAGCCAGGGAAGGAGTGACGGATTATGTTGTATATATGGAAGCATATGACAATCATGAGTTTCTGGTTCATCAACACTATTATTTACTCTGAGCAGAGAGCACAGTACATAATTTTTGACATGTCATTTCCAGCAGGCAAACAAAGTAACTGGAAACATCTTACCCACCCTCGAGCCGCATTAATATTGTTCTCGGAATAATATTGAGACGATTCCATTGATCTGAGGATACTCTCTACGGAAGGATCTGGAGCGATTCCGAAAGTAGCATCAGGTGTCTTACTAGCTGGAAACCCGAATTCACATCCTACAGAACATCTATTCCAATCCTGAGAGGGGGGAAATGCATGAGCATATAGGTGGAAACAGCAAATAAAGCAAAAGAAAAAAGGGAGAGGAACATTAATGCCATAGATATGATGCATCAAATATGGTCATGTGGACAATGGTACAAACAATAAAACGCCCAAAGCATTGTAATGAACAAAGTACGCCCAAAGCATTCTAAAGGGGAACATTTAATATACTAGCACTTTGTACTAAGAAAGTGTTCCTTGATTAACACACTAGTGCACTACCCCCGCTTGTTTATATGATTGCATCAGCATGGCACCATGTGCGTTCGAATCTATTAGCAACATGTGAACAATCCTGATTCCCAGGAGCTTCTTCAATACTATGATAAATGATGCCAATGACAATTACCAAGTCGTGTTACACAATTTCCAAATTTTGCAGTACAACTACAAATTAGGCATGCAAGTGAATTGGGTCAGGCTAATTAATGGGCCTACCAGAGTATTAGTTGCTTCATAACCAATCAAGAACCATGTGCATAAAGTGAACGACCAGTTAAGTGAGATGGATCGGAGGTCAGCAAAATCGCATCCCTAAATATTACGTGCATGTAGCGAACTAGTGATACGGACATGACATGACCCACTCAGAATTCCGCAAGCTGCATTTTTTCCCCCATTGTCCTGTATGTTAGCAACCAAACTACTAATTCACTTGATTGACATGAATTTGGTTGCAACTCTGGAATTACAGAGGAGAATTTGAGAGGAAGGTGGAGATCAGAGAAAGAAGATGAACAATGCCTATCCTAAGCCAACGCCATGCCTCGGCCGAAGCCGCCCAATCCGTCCAAGCCAGGTTGTGTGTAGCTGCATCCCAATATTTGTAAACGTTGTCCTTCCTTCGTGGCTTTGAGCTGGGCCGGGTAATTGTTCAAAGCCGGCAAGACCCAGGTGGCTCACAATTACCCCTCCATAAAATTCGGCTTGCCTTCAAGCAAAAATCTCATGGTATTTGTAATTCCTTGTACGAGGTCAATTTAGTCGTCGTGGTCGACGGGGACTAGGTCGAAAAATGCATTGAGATAGCAGTCTTGGTTGGCACGGACTTGATCGAAGGAGAGCGCGTGGTCAAACCGTCGAAGGAGTGGTCACAGCAGAACGTCAGCGCCACAAACATCTGCCCTCCTCGCACCCACCGAGCAAATTCCATGAATTTTGGCTTGATCCCAAACCGATGTCGAGTAAGGCCACCAGGGTTCGAGGGCAAGTGCAGCACATAGATTGAATGAACATCTGATGAGGACATGACTACCTTGGATATGACCAAAAATATTGCATATATGCATATTTGTCAGGTGATTTCTAGTGCAAACTATTCAATAATCTATTTATGTTATCCAGAACAAAAATACTTCACACACTTTTGTGTTTTGTCTAATTGCAGGTGTATGGGACATTTGTACAATCCACATATGAAGATAAGGAAGAAAGAGATGTTTATTTGCTGTCCAAAAAGTTCTCTCACGTCACTTTTGGCCCAAGAGAAGATAGAGTCCAAGTCTCTCACGTTCTGGATTCAGATTCGGACTGCACAGACATACCTGACTCAAAACGCACACAAGTTTTTCATACGGACTCCGAATTGGGTGATTCTTTTTTTGTTGGAAACTAGATTTCGTGCACTTTCCAACCCAATTGGAATCACCTTCAAATTCGTCCAGAGCGTTGAGTTGTGGACGAAACAATCTGATGCTGTAGCAGAATCCGAGTCAAACTACAAGTCCAAAGGTGTTACATCACCTCCACTTGGGCCCATTGGCCTTGTACGACCTAGATTTAGTTTTAGGCTGCCTTGGGACGTCCTCCCACCTCCTTGGCCGCCACCCCTTGCTCCTATATAAGTAGATCCATCTAGTAGCTTTTCCTGGGGATTTGTTTAGTTAAAAGTTAGCCATTGCAACTTCGTGTGCTTCGTTTGTGTCCAACGACTAGACCAAGACCGCTTACGGATCCTCATCATTATCAATACTTCATACTTATTCGCGATATTCAGATTGCTTTTATCATATTCTTGCTCGTTCTTCGATTGCTTGCAGGAATAGACCTTCGTGGTCAGGTTGATCGTGCTCCGGTGTGGTCAATAACCTCTCGGAGTTGGTTTAGCGATTGCTAAGGCACAACGTCGTTGCACGTTTGTAGTCGGATCGTCAAAGTCGTCTCCACCAAATCGATAGTTATCATCTCATCGAAAGATCGGGACACCCCGCCTCTATCAAGTGGTATGATGAGGACATGACTACCTTGGATATGACAAAAAATATTGCATATATGCATATTTGTTAGGTGATTTCTAGTGCAAACTATTCAATAATCTATTTATGTTATCCAGAACAAAAATACTTCACACACTTTTGTGTTTTGTCTAATTGCAGGTGTATGGGACATTTGTACAATCCACATATGAAGATAAGGAAGAAAGAGATGTTTATTTGCTGTCCAAAAAGTTCTCTCACGTCACTTTTGGCCCAAGAGAAGATAGAGTCCAAGTCTCTCACGTTCTGGATTCAGATTCGGACTGCACAGACATACCTGACTCAAAACGCACACAAGTTTTCATACGGACTCCGAATTGGATGATTCTTTTTTTGTTGGAAACTAGATTTCGTGCACTTTCCAACCCAATTGGAATCACCTTCAAATTCGTCCGGAGCGTTGAGTTGTGGACGAAACAATCTGATGCTGCAGCAGAATCCGAGTCAAACTACAAGTCCAAAGGTGTTACATCACCTCCACTTGGGCCCATTGGCCTTGTACGACCTAGATTTAGTTTTAGGCTGCCTTGGGACGTCCTCCCACCTCCTTGGCCGCCACCCCTTGCTCCTATATAAGTAGATCCATCTAGTAGCTTTTCCTTGGGATTTGTTTAGTTAAAAGTTAGCCATTGCAACTTCGTGTGCTTCGTTTGTGTCCAACGACCAGACCAAGACCACTTTTCGGATCCCCACCATTATCAATACTTCATACATATTCGCGATATTCAGATTGCTTTTATCATATTCTTGCTTGTTCTTCCATTGCTTGCAGGAATAGACCTTCGTGGTCAGGTTGATCGTGCTCCGGCGTGGTCAATAACCTCTCGGAGTTGGTTTAGCGATTGCTAAGGCACAACGTCGTTGCACGTTTGTAGTCGGATCGTCAAAGTCGTCTCCACCAAATCGATAGTTATCATCTCATCGAAAGATCGGGACACCCCGCCTCTATCAACATCCGAGCATTTGATCCCAATCACTAAGTGGCAGGTCACAATGAAGCACTCCAAGGTAAGGTGCGGGTGCATACCCCGTAAGAAATAAAGTATTGCCAATGTTGCAGTTTACCATGCAATCTCCCAAGATCTGAATAATCGTACCCATGGAAGGAAGTTTTTCCAGCAGGACAAAACTGTAACCAACCCTCCAGTAGTGGATGTAACCATGGAATCTTCCATTGCATTAATTCAGGATCCCATCGATTATGATCACTAGTGAGGCAGTAGCTCTGGGGTATCGCATAATTCCACGGGATCATTCCTTCGGAACAGAATTCCATAATCTGAAGCATATAACTTTCCTGCCCATCATCAGGTCCTGAAGGAAAATTTACCATCATTCCAGACCGTGGGGAAGGTAGATTTGGACATACAATTGGACCACAAACCACCCAATATTTGAGGCCACGCAATTAGCCACGCTGGGGACCTTTACAGTGCAGATACTGTACCAACACAGAGTTTGCTGCAGCATTGAGTGACATAGAAGACCATGTGAACTGAGCAGACCATGATTTGAATGCTATGGCTCTTATTCTGCTGCTTGGAGGTTCTGGTGCTTTCTTGTGACTAAAGGTGCGGGTAGCAGGCCTTATCTCCATTATTTGTGAGCTATCAGAATCTGACTCTGTGCATAGCTAGCTATTTGACGGTTCAGCAGATCAGGTGTCTTAACATTATCAGAAGAAGGTGACATGTAAACTTTTTTGTTCCCTAAAGATGGTCCATTGGTGGTTCGAGCTTTAAGTTGGTCACAAGCAGGCTGTCTTGTTCCTGTCTTGTTCTAAAGGAAGATGTTCCGGTTTTTCTCACAAGCATGGTCATCTGGTTGTGATGGAGAAATCATAACAGGGGTGACTTCAGGTCCCTCTGTAGCAGATCCACCATGGTTTGCAGCTGCTTGTGAGACCCGGAATGAGGCAATATAACCATTCAAGGGTCTAGATCTTCCATCAGTTTCTTGAGACAAGTTCCTCTCATTTGTGGAGGCAGTACTAGTATCTCTGCTTACTTGGTGTGCCAATTGAGACATTAGGAAGTAAACAGAATTCCAAGAATAGCAGATGCCAAACCACCAGAATTCCATGTCATATGCAAGCAACCCTTCGCAGTAATTTCCTGCCCTAGAATGCATAACAAGAGTTCAAGTTGGAAAGTGCCCATCCTGAAAAACCAAGCAATCTCCGACTGGAGCAGCCCACGGTCATATAGCAAAGTACAGTTGTCTGTTACCACCATTCCGAAGCTTGAATAGGCACTACATTTGTTGCAATAGCCATGAAAAACAGTCAGTTGCAGGGTTGTTGAAGAATGGAAGTCCCACGACTCCAAACACTCTAACTGGATTACCCAGTCAATTGCCAGTTGGAATTGTTCAGAAACAATTATGAGAACATCTTCAGATGAACCAGCGCAGAATAGAAAGATTGTACGGGAAGTTGCAGCCCATGGCAGTATGGTCACTGCGCTTCCTATCCAATGGAGCGGCAATAGGCAAACTCTGCTGGCAGAATTGCAATTTCAGTGACGACACATTCAGAGAAAAATGGGTTCGTCACACAGGTTTGTCATCCCATTGCAGTAAAGGGCGGATCAATGAATGCAGCAGTAGTTTAGGGCAATTCACAGGTTAAAAACTGGCGAGCATGAAATGGAAGGAACTCACAAACTGCGATGGCATGCTGCACTGAGGAGATGTCCATTCTGAACAGATTTACCCTTCTCCTCAGAGTTGTCCTGTTGCTCGGTCATGGCCATATCAATGATATCCAATGCAGGAGAGAATGTGAGCACCAATGAGAGAGTGGCAAGGTTTTGACCAATCGTCGAAGACATACGCTGCAAGGTTGAGGTCATCTATTTCCACCACAGTGGCACATGCGCCTGTGTTGCAAGGATGCTCCAAAGTGGACACGAGCTCGAGCAAGGCCGGCGAGTCCGTCTCCGTCATGGCTGCCAACAAATCAGTGGAGCTCCTATTGAACTCGACATTGAACCGGGCGACCCACGCATCCCGCTGCAACAGATGATCTAGCCTGATATAGACTTGGGCAAAGCCTTGCTGATGTCATGGCCAGTGGCGAGGAATGACCGGTTCACGGGAGACAACGATTCCACACGCACCAGATCGTTCGAGGCACGATCGCCACGAGCAGAGGCGGCTCAGGTGACTTGGATGGCGATGTTGATGGGGATCAAACCCGAGGTCGAACAACGGACAATCTAGCCCGATATAGACTTGGGCAAAGCCTTGCCAATGTCATGGCCAGGGGCGAGGAATGACCGGTTCATGGGAGGCGACGATTCCACACGCACCAGATCGTTCGAGGCATGATCACCACGAGCAGAGGCGGATCGGTGATGCAGCTCGGCGACTTGGATGGCGATGTTGATGGGGATCAAACCCGAGGTCGAACAAGTGGTGTGCGCTATGGTGCAAAACCCACTAGTTGCAGGGACAAGATCCACGAGAGCCTCCTCGACATCGCTCCTTGCAGGTGTAGCCGCAGTCGAGTTCGATGTTGACGAAGCCGACGCGAAGGAAGCGAGCAAGACGTCCAAAGCAAAGGTATGGGTTGGGTTGGTGATGACGATGTTGTGTCAAACGCTCTATGTGAGAGCGTTGTTGATGAGGCCGACGACACCTTTGCGGAGTCCCGCTTGGGGTCGAGGAAGCCGGCGAGGGCAGGGGCGAGGGCGACATACTCATCTCACTTCTGGTCGGAATCACATGGGTTTGCCACGAGGAAGGCATGTAGCGCCTTCATCCTCGGGCACTCTTCAATCATGGCTCGCATCAAAGTCATAGTGGTGGTGGAAGAAGAAATTTGGTGGGGATTTTGTGGAAAATTGGGAGGAAGGGGGGTCGAGCAGCTCTAATGGCAAATGTTAGCAACCAACTACTAATTCAACAGTGCCTATCCTAAGCCAGTGCCATGCCTTGGCCAAAGTCGCCCGATCCATCCAAGCCGAGTTGTGCGTAGCTGCCTCCCAATATTTGTAGGCCTTGTCATTCCGCTGTGGCTTCGTACTGGTCCGAGAGAGAAAGGTGGGCCGCATAGTAATAACATAATATACAAGTATGACTAACTCGTGCAGGACGGACTTTTGTTTTTCTCTTGCTGTGCTTGCCTGCACTCGTGCAGGACGGCTGTTACAAAACCTTTCTTCCATCCTTAATGAAATGACGCGCAATTCTCTTGCACGTTCCGTAAAAAAAAGTATGACCAACTACTATATGAGTGGGCTATTAGGTTGACTCTAGGTGACGTGGCAACTTCAAATAGCCGGTTATTGGCTATACTATTAACCATGCTCTCTTCTGATAGTTTTCGAAGTTCCAACTATTACAAGACACTGCATTAAATTCACAATTATGAACTTACAGTTCTAATAGCAAGTCCAAACTGGCATTGTGTTTCACCAAGTATGGCACTAGGTCTATGTTCCACCCTCACGAGCTCTACAAGCTTCTGTCAAAATATCTAGTCCCTCCCTTCTGGTTATTAAGATCCACACATATTTCTAGATCAGCAACTTGGCCAATGGAATACAAGTTATATGTCATAAAAAATATACCATAAGAAACTAGTACTTGCGAATAATAATTCAATTGCAATACTTTGTTGTCGCATATAACTCCTATTTGGTTGGTTAAAATGCCGATCTAGGAACTCTAACCTCCCAAAAGTTCGGAACCGGCTCGTCTACCGTGCTGAAGGCACGGTAGGGAAGCTACAGTAGCCTGCAGTGCCTCTGTGATTTTCCACTGCGCGCTACAGGAACTTATGAACAGTGTGGTGCTACAGGGTGCCTGCTATAGTACAGATTTACTACAGTAGATTCGCTACAGTACATAGTGCTATAGGGCCCTGCAGTGCCTTCTGCGATTCCCACTGCGTGGCCACTGTAGCTCCCTGCCGTGCTGAAGGCACGGTAGACGAGCCCGTTCCCAAAAGTTCATATGACGATTGTCTAGCAAGATTATCTAGATTTTTTTCGGGAGAGATCACTGGAACTTATACACCTGCTAATGTTACCCCCAATGAAGCGTTGAACGAATTAAGCACCAGATCCGGCAAGTCCGTCAACGTCGATACCAAATTGCAAGGAAGGAACATGCCTTAGCAGCACCGCCGACAAGTACGGGATCCCTTTCAAAATCGCGGTCGTAGGGCACGGCATCCTCCCTCTCGAGCCGCTCCTCGCACTCGTCGTCGTCGTCCCCGCTACCCGGAGGTGCGTCCGCGCCCCAGGTCGAAGAGAGGCGGTAGAAGGAGGTGGTCCAGCTCTCCACCGCCGCAGCGTTCTTCGACATGTCGAGGCGACCGAGGAACGCGATCTCGCCGACAAAAGCAGCACCAACGAGAAGCGGGAGCAGCCACCCACAGCGCCGCCGACGGCTTGCCGCCTGGGACTGCGAGTGGGAACCCTTCATGGGCGTCAGTGAGCCTCACAGCTCTTTCCGTTGGCTGGCGGCGGCTACGGTGGACAGGTCAGGGAGCAAGAGAGGTATAGAGGCGCGGGGATGAGCCGAAGGCGTAGTCGAGGTTAGAGCACCTGCACCTATACCTGGCCAAATGGGCCGGCCCGGCCCGGCACGGCACGGCACGGCCTGGGGTAAACGGGCCAGGCACGCTTAGTACATGGGCCGTGCCGGGCCGGCACGCGTGCTGACCACCGTGGCCCAGGCACGGCCCCTCGGCTATATGGGCTGGCACGCTAGCCCGGTTGGCACACCGGCACGACTGGGACCATCGAGGCACGCCCACCCGATTTGCTAATTTGCTAAAAAAAAAAGGCATTGCCCCTGCCCGCTGGCCAGGTTTGACCCCTTGACCGTGCGCAGGCGCGCAGCGCCGCAGCCGCATTGCGCCCAGGAGTGGAGGCACATCGATGCAGCCATGCAGGGCTGTAGGTAGCACTGTGCAGTAGCACTAGCACGGTAGCAGTAGGTTTAGCTACGTTTATTATTTCAACGGCTCCATCGCTGCCTCGTTGGACGCTCCCCTCGCTCCTTTTTCTATTTTTTATTTAAATGCTCGCTCGCTGTCGCTGGACTCACTGATCGATCAATTGCTAGTCGTGTCGGGCCGGGCTGGCACGCGTGCCGGGCAAGGCAGCCCAGGCACGGCCCAAGCCGGGCCATGTGTCAGGCACGGCCCACTATGTCTCGTGCCGGGCCGTCCCATGACGGGCCAGGCACGCGGGCTAACATGCCGGCCCAAAAAAACCGGCCCGTTTGGCTAGGTATACCTGCACCCCAACTACGCAAATATGATCCAGCATTTTTTTCAATCGATCTGTGGTTGGATGGTTAGAGGGACTATGGTATTCGTAGTTCATGGTTCTGATATTGGTGCTCGCATTTATTTCTGAATTTATTTTAGGATTTCTGGCGATGCGTATTTAGTGGGAGGAGACGTTCCCGTCGACGACGAGGTGCCTAGGATGACGTCGTAAATTTCAAGATGATATGCCGATACGGTCTTTCGAAGGTGCTCATAGGGATGAGGTGTGTGTGTGTGCGTTTATTGGGTTAAGTGTATGCGCGTGTATATGAGCGCTTGCGTCTGTACTGCGTTCAAAAAAAGCATTTTTTGGGTATACATCTTCTTTATTCAAGCAAGTTCAACGAAATCGTTACAATGTCATGTGATTGAAGTAACCACACATAACTACCAACATCTGAAGACAAAACAAATTTGGCTAAGCTATCAGCCTCAAAGTTTCGAGACCTTGATTTGCTAGCACAAATCTTTTTTTGGAGAAAACGCAAAGATCTTTGCGTTTCATTGCATTGAAGAGAAGGGATAGTACAATCCTCCTAGAAGGCTGGGGTTACAAAGATTGTGCTCTCGATCAGTGGACGTCCCAGGATGTGGGTAGGACTACCCTGAGCCCCTTTGCCCCGGCTTGTGCCCAGCCTTTGGCTTCCGCTTTAATCCTATCCACTAATGCTTCTATCGATGTTCGCGTGTTTTCGAAGACACATTCATTGCGCTGCCTCCAGATCATCCAAGGGACTAGCATGGCTATGGACTTCAATCCTTTGCGCAGCGCGTGTGGTGTCTCTCCCTTCGTTCGCTGCCACCAGTCTGTAAGTGAGGGCTCATTGTGTGGTGGCTGTGCTGGAATGCGCATCCAGTCCAGGATGGCGTGCCAGGCTTGCTGCGTGAAAGGGCGGGTCAGGAGCAGGTGTTGGATGGTCTCCGGCTCTTGATCGCATAGGAGGCATCTGAGGTGGTGCTGCAGGCCGGGACGGGCCAGCCGCTCTGCTGTCCAGCACCGGTCCTGGCTAGCTAGCCAATGGAAGAATCGGACTCTGGGTGGTGCCCAGCTCTTCCATGTCAGCTTCCATGAGGGGCATCTTGTGGATCCATGGAAGGTCGCAGCGTAGCAGGACTGCGCCGTGTAGGTGCCGTTGGTCGTCCACCTCCAGCGCATTTGGTCAGGCACATGCGTGAGAGTGATGCGCTGCACGGCCTGGCAAAGCCTCAGGTATTGCCCGGTTTCATGTATCCCAAGCACTCCCTGGATGTCACGTGCCCAAGCATTGCCTGTTAGGGCCTCCGCCACCGTTCTCGCTTTGCGCCTCTGTTTGGGTATGCACTGGTAAAGCGCAGGAGCGATCTCGCGGATGGATTGCCCCTGGAGCCAGTGGTCTTCCCAGAACAAGGTCGTCAATCCATCACCGAGGATCATGGTGGTGGAGGCAAAGAACAGCGCACGCTCCTCTTGAGTGAACTGCAAGTCAAGCCCTTGCCATGCGCGATTGTCGTCCTTGCGAGTGTACCATAGCCATCGCAACCTCAGTGCCAGGCCAGCGCGCTCCAGGTCCCGTATCCCCAAGCCGCCATATTCCAGTGGGCGGCAAACATGGCGCCAATTGACATGGTAGTGCCCACCGTTGGTAGTTGCACGTCCGGCCCATAGGAAGCCCCGTTGTATCTTCTCCAGCTGCCTCAGGGTCTTCTTGGGGGGCGAATGCGAGCAGTTGGTGAACCGGGATGGCCTCGAGCACCGCTTTGACCAATGCGAGCCGTCCAGCCTTGTTCATGAGCCATGCTTTCCAAGCTGGAAGCCTGGCTGCCACTGAATCTACGAGGGGTTGTAGTTGGGCGGTAGTGGGGCGGCGCAACATGAGCGGGATGCCGAGGTAAGTGATGGGTAGGTCGACCGTCCTGCATCCGACATGGGTGATCGTCGCGGTCGCGTCGGGGTCGCCATGGAGGATGGTGGCCGAGCTCTTGGCGTAGTTCACCCGGAGGCCGCTAGCTTCACCGAAGAGTGTAAGTATGCCCTTGACGGCCTCCATGTCTCCAGGTGTGGCGTGGCAGAAGAGCATCACATCGTCGGCGTATAAGGAGATGGCCAGAATGGCTCGTCGGGGGTGCAGCTGTTGCAGGATGCCGGACTCGTGTGCGCGGCGGATGAGGCGTCTGAGGGTGTCCATAGCGAGCACAAAGAGTTGTGGCGACACGGGGTCGCCCTGTCGCAGTCCGCATCGGTGCCAAATCAGCGGCCCTGGCTCGCCGTTCAGCGTGATCCTGGTGCTCAAGGTCGAGAGCAGTATCGCAAGCCACTCCCGGAACCGAGGCCCGAACCCATACTGGTCTAGCACCTCGAAGAGGAAGGGCCAAGATAGGGAGTCGAAGGCTTGCGTGAGGTCAAGTTTGAGCATGGCTCTTGGGACCCCAAGTTGGTGCAACAACTTCATGGATTGTCTGACCAGGACAAAATTGGCGTGGAGGCTCCGACATGGGATGAATGCATTCTGGTTACAACTGACCAGGTCGCCCAACCTTGGCACGAGGCGTAGCGAGAGTACTTTCGCGAAGATTTTGGCCACGAGGTGTATCAGGCATATCGCCCGATAGTCGCGTAGCTGACAGGCATCGGCGCGCTTCGGGAGCAGGGTCAACATGGCCTGGTTAAGTTTGCTGAAGACGCGACCGCGTAGCAGAAAGAGTTGCTGGAAGATGTACAGGAAGTCATGTTTGACCGTGCTCCAACATGCCCGCAAGAACTCGGCTGTAAATCCGTCGGGCCCGGGCGCCTTGCGTGCCGGGAGGCTTTTGACGGCGTCCCATATCTCCTCATGGCTGAATGGTGCGTCGAGGCAAGTCAGGTCACAGGGCTCTATGAGCTGCGATAGATCTAGCGAGTGGCCGCAGTTGAGGGCCGAGCCCAGCAGCTCATCAAAATGAGAGAAAGCCGCCTGCGCCATCCCCTCCTGATCCGCGATCACGTGTCCATCCACGGTGAGGCTATGGATGTGGTTCTTCTGCCGGCGGAAAGAGCACTATCGATGGAAGAATGTCGTGTTGGCGTCTCCATCCTTGAGTGTGGCGATACGTGCCCGCTGCCTCGCAATCGTGTGCTCCAACGACGCTAGCCCAAGGTATGATATTTTGAGCATGAATCTTCTGGATAATAGTTGCATGTCTTACACCCTATTTTGCCTGAATATCTTTTATTAATGTAGCACAATCAGAAGAAATCAAGACCAGGAAGATGTCTAGATCCTTGGCCAAAGTCAAAGCTTCATGGCAAGCAAGGGCTTCCAACATTGGCATGTCAGTAATACCCATAGAAGTGACCCCCGATAAACCAATATGATTACCAAGGTGATCCCGACAAATTGCAATCGCAACACCTCTCACCCCATGTCTTCGAAGTGCGTCATCTACATTTATTTTCATAAATCCTTGCGGTGGTCTAATCCATGGTTGCCAAATTGTAACACGAGTAAACTGTGCCATTGTTCATTGTTGACATTGACGGTGTCCTTGACTAAGGGGTGCTAACTTGTACGGCCTACTGTCCATGGGTCGGGCTTATGGCCCACCAATCACTAAAAGGAAGGACTACTAAAGTTGTGAACCTCGGCATGATGAAGATGGAAACCTCTGAAGACTTAGCATGTACTTCAAGGATTGTCGTGCAGTCGGCGCATCGACAACCTACCATTTGTGTAACCTAGGTACCCCTGATGCATATATAAGCAGAGGATTTAGTCTTTAGAGGCACGATCACCAGCCTTGGATTTAGAACATAGTCATATGATCTCGAGGTAGATCATCTTGTACTTTGTACTCCATCACATCAATATAATCGGAGTAGGACGTAGGGTTTTACCTCTTCGAGGGGGCTCAAACCTGGGTAAACATCGTCTCCCTTCGTCCCTTGTTACCATTGTTCCAAGACCTACAGCTCAGGACCCCCTACCCAAGATCCATCGATTTTAGCACCGATATTGGTGGCCCATACAGGTCTCACTGTGTGGTCGAAAGGGATCAATGGATCATCTTTAGATCAACAGTGACATCGGCTGTGGCGACATCTTCGTCCACGTCCAGCTTTTCGCGTACGACAACATTGTCCTTCAGTTGATTCGGCCGGACACCTCAGTCGCGTTGAAGGCTTCACCCCATA